CCGCGGCCGCGTTCCCCAGGCGAAAGCTGCGCTGGTTATCGAGGCAGCCTAGAAAAGAAGACTGATTTCGGCACGCGATGTGCGTGCTGCTCCATTTTGGGACCTTCCTAGGGCAGGGCCGGCTACCGTCTGCTGAGAAGGAGGAGATGGCGCACAATGAGGCTCGTTGGCCCACGCGCCGTCTGCAGGAAGTGCCGCGCAGCGCCTGTCCCAAAATTGTTAATGGCGGACCTAATAGAGGCCTCGATTGTACCTGCAGCCCAATCAAACAATCCGAAACATGTACGTTATATGATGCTGTAATGCTGCAGTCTAGCAATTTCTGTTATTTACACCACCTTTCGTTGCTCAAGCGGGAGTACCTATAGCACACCGTGTGCTCCTTCCATTAACCCTGCATTTGTTATTATTTCAGATAACTTTCGTAAACATTATATAGTTTTATCTCTGTTCTTTGATCCGTAAGACACTGAACACTTAATAGCACTTCGGGCACCTTAATTTATTCTTTGTTCGTTGAAATTCTTCTATCACTCAACGGATATTTTTATCTCCCATTCCTCGTCGTGCTGCTCGCAGCAACCTTGTATGCGAGTAACTACACATGCCCCTATACCTATGCTGCTGCCACTAGAAGTGAATATGATTTTTAAAAGCGCTTACGGGCAAACAGGGTTGATGACAGCCGGCCCATAATTTTTTTTACATCGGTATCACTGTGACACGGATTTTATCTATTTTTAGATGATCGTGCATGATAATGAGATACTGTCGTAAGGCACTAGGAAGACGGGGCAAGAATGTCGATTTCCGTGTTCTGCGCGTTTCTGCGGCAGTATTATACGAACGAAAAATTCTAGAATAGTTCGACACTTACTTCACACTGAAGTGGACAGATGAGACAATCAGCAAGTTAGCCATAACAAATTGTTTTCGAAGTGCTTAGCATTTGTGTATGTCGTCAAAGGTTTTGTCTACAGCTGTCTGACTTGCGCTGCTTTCAACACATCACGTTATCAAAAATTTGGCCTTGTTCGGGTCATTCATAATGCGCCTTTTGTGTACATCAAGCTGTGTATACGGCCGGCCGAAACATTAATGCGTATTTGCTAGTTTTCGCTAGTTGCTAGGAAACATTGTACCACTTTTTATCTGGAATAACGTAGTAAATCCATTTGTGTAGACACATATAGCAATCTTCAGGCAAAAAAGAAAATAAGTTTGAACGTGTCGAAGTTCGTGCGATCTATCTATACCAATAACATAGCCCAACATTTCATGACACATCTTGTATTTTCTTTTCAATTTTTTTACGCAGCGTAGCATTAAAGGACGCGTATCGATTGTTGCATATGCTAAAGACATCATTATTAAGAAATTCCTCATTCTGATACCTTAGCTGTCATAAGGGAAGTTAGTGCTTCCCAGATGGCACGCCTCAATTTTATGTGACGTGCCTAAAACTTACGCGATACGCCACCCTGGCAACTTGGTTGAGAACTAGCTAGTAGGACAGAATGACCGCGAGGTGTACTACGATCACGTTTTAGCGCGCCCTCCTACAGGTTGCGCGCGCTGAAACGCATGATGAATGTCATGCGTCACCACCCCCGGTTTTGCCCAATGTGCGTGGTGTTGTAGCTACTTTGAAACGCGCAATACCAGTGAAAATTTGGACACTTCACTGAAAACTGCAGCGCATCGGGTGAGCAGCGATGCCACAGACCATTCTCCTCTACGGTTTCAGCGATGTGTTCGCGGTCGGATGCCGTCACAAGACTATGCTGTCGAAAGAACGAACGCTGTCCTGAATGAAGTACGTCTATGACGCGGAAAGTAATAGTGACCTTTCGACGTAGTGCCAAGCATTGTACGGCGTAAACTTACAGGTAAGCGCATTCAAATTGCGCTTGCGATGCTCGACGAAGTGTGCAGATTGCTCATTATGCGCACGCTTTGAAGTAAAATTTGCATTTTTTTTCAGGCAGCACTGAGGTAGCATTCGGCCCAGTGACAGCTGTTTTAAGTGAAAATATATTATTTACGTATTTGGTAGGCACAGCTTTTGCACTATGTAATAGAGAAGCTGTTTCGGTACGCGCTTTCCTTTACAGTGTGTTAAACATCAAACGTGAACCCACGAAATGTTTGTATCGCAGTCTTTAAAGTGAGTTGTTGAAGCTGACGGTGAATCGTGAAATGAATGTCTAAGGCAATTTTAACAAGAAAGCCCAGTGCAATGCGGAAATTGGTAGTGTTAGTGGAAATGCAAACATGTCGGAGCTGTTGTACATTAACGAAGTCAACTCGCCGTCGTCTGCAGACCGTTCGCAAGCTTGCAGTCGGCCGTCGTCTAAGCATGATACTTAAAAAATCACAAAACATCTACGGAGCGAATCGTGATTGTGGGGCGAAGCTTTCGAGGGTTCTATCGGTAAACCTTGAATCATCCCTCCATTCATTCGTCCGTCGGTCTGTCTGTCTGTCTGTCTGTCTGTCTGTCTGTCTGTCTGTCTGTCTGTCTGTCTGTCTGTCTGTCTGTCTGTCTGTCCATCAATCCATCCATCCGCACCTGCTGAGGGAGTCATTGAACTAGGTGGTCACGTATGAGCTAAGAGGAAGAGACCCACGGCTTTAGGAGCCTCGCCCCTAAAGAAAGTGCCTTTGAACTACCCGGTGGTTATTGACTTTGTGGTGGTTTCGTGGTTGACATGCAGCGTGTGGTCAATAATGGAACATGCGTAGATCATGGGTGCAATGAAGGAGAGCCCAAGCTTCTCGGGCAGCCGAGTTTGCTCCGAGCTTGCTCTGCAGTGGCCATGGCATGAAGACAGTGCGGAGTGTGTGATCGTCGTTGATAAAAATGGCTACACACATGGGCGTGGTGTTGGAAACGCATGTCGCACATTAGCGGTTGTTATTAAAGAAACACCGCGGGCGAGCACCTCAGCGCCGCCACTCACTCAACATTTTAGCAGTGCAGCGACGTCAGCGTGATTGTCGTGCTAAATTTTTGCCAACTAAACACGCGCCTCCCATAAGCGTGTTCGTGGGCGTATGTCCTCTTTCGCACATGTTCTTTCGTTCCACCTGGAGCATTAAAATTTCCACTCTTAAAGGCAGCAAAGGTGCACACGCCGCACTCTCGTGCTGCTTGTTTCGCTTCATTCAAGTATTGTAGATAAATATAAGGACAGGTGGTAACCAGGGGCACTCGCATCGTTTCAGCAACGTGGCTGGGATTGGATACGTCGTGAGCGCGGTGAAATTAAATTCCAGACATCGTAGCTGTGTGGTGATATCACTCTTACTTTTGCGTGCGTCTATCCATAGTCTGCGCAATAAACCTGACAGATTAATCGTGCCGCTCGACGTGAGTATCGCTCCTCGACAAGAGAAAACGGCGTGGGCGTGCCCGATCTTCGCCACGGGCGTCTGTCAATCAAAATGATTGACGCGGGAACTCGGATACAAGCTCGTTGATTCTTAGAAGGCCCGAATTCAACTCGTGACTATGATGGTGCCGGTGTGACTGTCAAGCGTTTAATGCGATGAACGCTAAGCGGCAGCTGCTTTGCATATAAAAATTATATCTATAAAAATTTGCATATAAAATATAATAGCTAATTAACCGGCCGCACGTGCTTGGGTTCTAGCGGGCGATGGCAACAAAGACGACTTGCACCGGCCGAGTGGCGCGCTAGAGTGTACAGGCTGACCAATTAATACGTCACCTCGGGTTTAGTTGCGGTCGCGATGTTGTAAAATGCTCGGTCGGTACTGATCTCAGGGGCCATCGTGCTGATTATTGTAAGACATACTTAGTGCAGGCATTAAAAGCTTCAAAGTTAATTTTAACACCCCGTGCATCTAGAAAATATCATCTCGAAAAGTTTCTGACATTTTTATTGCATCGGTGCACTTCTGCACCTGGTGGAACGACAAACGAAGAGACGAAGATGCCTGTAGTTTGAAAAAACCGCCCAACTTAGTCGACCGTCCTTGACGCTATGACTGGCTCCGTCGTAGCCAATGAAACGCAGCGCGCTGAGGGGTAGATTTGACTTTATCGTACTCTTGGCTCATTTTTGAGGGGGTGTTATCAGAGCTCAGAAAGATGCGGAGTTTCGCGAAACTCAGCCGATCCTGCATAGCGTCTTCTGTTTTTCTAGGAGTCATCGTCTTGTAACCTGTCTGGAGTTCTGCACGTGACTGTCAGGTATGACACCATATATACTCGAATGTGACATGAAGTTACTGTACTGCGTTAATACTGTGTGTGGAACAGAACTGCAGACCATTCGACGTAGTGATACGGCACGATGCTTACGCAACCTAAGGTTTCATGTGCTTTCTCGAACGTTTTCAAAGCAAGTTTCAAATAATATACTTGGAATCTTTTTCAGCGCACCAACCCATGTGCATCGACGGTAATCGACGCTGCAGGGAATCAGCTATACATACTCTGGATTAGTTTTTGCTGTTATTAAAAAGCTTTTGTGGTTGTGGAATTTGTGAATACAAAAATAACGCCGGCCTCCAAGCTTCTTTTTCCTCGTCTGATTATCTCGCATGGTGGCATGGTTAACGTTAGTATTTGTATGCCCAAAGGTTTCCGGCTGCGATCGACAGGGCGGCGCTCCTTGTTTGCCAAAACTCCAGCGCTGGTTTTCCATAATGGGTCCTCCGAATGAGTTTTTATATGAATTGAAACAACGTACTTACACCTATATTAGAGGTATGCCCATATTTCACTCCCTGCAATACCTTACTTGCATCACCATTAAGCCGTTTCAGCATCAGCATAAACGAAACATGGAACTTGTTTTAATATGTTGTGGTAGGGTGCCTGATGACTTCATATTCATTAATGCACCACAATTACAGAAAATGTGTTCTTTACTGAATGATGTCTTAATATTAGATTTTGAACAGATTTTGAACTACAATTAACTATTCCTGGTAACCGGTACAATCATTCCCGCGTACCACAAAGGCAGTGAGCTTTCACGGTGCTTTTATTTCACAATACTCGTTAAATAGAAGAAACTTATTTACAATAGAAAGGTGCAACATAGTTCACAGGGCGATGCTAGCGGGGTGGTTGATAGTGCTAGCTGCATTGCACGGGAAGAGGTAGATTCTGGTTGAAGTTCGAGTACAGCAGGACCAGAGAGTGCACAGCCTCATCTTGTCCAGTTCACACCATCTTCCCGAGCCGCTGTTGGTCTCTATATTGTGTGGTGAAAGACAAACATTGACATGAAAAAAAAATTTGCTCTTTTGGCAAGGAACAAGGGACATTGCAAATAGGGGAGCAAAGAGATGAACAGAGGATTCTCACGAACAGCACAACACGCCATGGGAGCTATGCTTGCCATCGAGCAGAGAACACGTGTATGTCAACCTTCAACTTTATCTGTGTTTTCATTTTGTGGTATCGGGTAGTTCTTTCTCAATATTCTGAAGAACACAAATCGCTAATACTTTTCATTAACGGGGATGCTTTTAAACAAGCAACAAGTAAAGAAACAAAAAAAACGCGATATGTCAAGTAGCTTTTATCCGAGCTCCTTTACGTTTCCTCATGTTCCTTATATACATCGCTGAATGCTAATACAAACTCCATAGTGTCCATTTAAACGTTATAAACGCTATATGAAAGCACTTTATCAGTGGCAAAAGCGCTTCATTTGTGAGTTTTTGCTGCAGTACATGCATTTGGCATTTTCTGGGTATTCCACAGAGCTACTGAACACATGGAAAGAAACAAGAAAAGCGAGTTGTAGTTGTTACCTTTTTGTACGATGTAAATTCAATGCATGCCTCGCATCACTCTGCAGCATGGATCATAGTCGATGGCGGCCCTTCTCTTTAATAACGATGGCTTTTCGCACGTAGGGTTTGCTACTCCGGTGACTCTTGCTCGTGTAAGACTTGAGACTGCTGAAGTAGGGATCCCTGTTGCTGCCAAAAGTGTGCACCACGTAGGTTGGCCCATGTATGACTTTGCTGTCGCCGAAGCTAAAATCGTCGTGCACGCTACTCGTGAACGTTGGGCTTGCGTACGAACTGTCATAATTAGGCTGGAATGCTCGCACGAAGCCGGAATTTGATCCGTAGTTGGGGCTTGAAACATAGCTGCCTGCCGGTACCATGGTATGTACCACTTGTTGGCCTGTTGTACGCTGTGGTGCTTTAGATTTGGTACGTGTCATTCGTTGTATGACGGTGGGGTTAACACCACGTGCGGCACCTAAAGTGACGCCCTGGGATAGGCCGCGAGCGCCACCCTGTGTTAGCTGTGGTGCAAAGCTGGGTATCACGGCATGTTGTAGGGTCTTGCCGACGTTACGCTGGAATTCTTGGCCAGCGCTTTGTACCCCAGCGTAAGAAATACTGTGTAATGCTCCCGGTGGAAACACCTGATGAAAACCATGTACATTCGGGTGACCAACGATGTGGGCAACGCTGGGGTTGAAGCCATGACCAATCTCTTGCACGATTGCACGCTGTCCACCGGCTCCGCTGACTATGCCTTCTTCCAGGCTCTGACCGATGCTCTGAGACAGCATTCTTTCTAAAGCATTTGGACCAGTGAATACAAGCTTTGAAGACGCGCTGCTGGGACCGAAGTCAAACGCATGGTTTCGAAGGCCTCTCAAGGGCTGTCGGCGTGCATTGTTGACCTCGTACGCACCAACGTACCCTGTCGTGACAAGGACAATGAAGCCAATGTTCTGCAAGGAAAAATAAACGAAACAAAATGACGCTAGATCTTACTGTCTGTCTTATAAAGTTTAAGCTTAACGACATTCTGGAGCAAGGAGTGTGACACAGATGTTAAAAATGTTTAACACAGTTTCGGGTATAAGATGTATATACCGCCACTTTGTGTGCCACGACAGCGGATCGTGCCCATCGCCTAACTATTACTGTGTTTCACGTTCACTTAATTCTCACAAAAATGAGATCCCAACGCAAAAAAAGAGTTCATCTCAGTAGATAAAGGTTCATGGTGAAAAAAAGGTGGTAAAGTTATTGAGGAATGCCACGCTGTGGCTTGCTTCTGACTTAAATATAAGCTCGACAAGAAAAAATACGATGAATTGATATTATCACGAAGGGTGCTAAACAAACGGTATTGACGCAATGCTAGGCATGGCATCAACAAATGCTCGTTTTTGTGAGAAGTGAATTCTCGTTATTGGATAATGATGTCACGTGGTGACCCTGAAGCGATATTTCATCACTTCAATATATATATCATTCACTTTAGCAATGACCGACTACCAGTGCAGGTACGTTTCTTGCAGTAAATTGGGCATACAAGTTGTTAAAGCTGAGACAGTAAACCTGTTCTAAGAGGCTTAATTCACATATACATGTTTAAAGCAAGAAAATAAAGTATAGACAGGTAAACTAAATTCAATAAGTGATACTTTCGGGGTTGTCCTAACTATAGCGGTCATTTGCACTCATAACCTTTATAAGAAGCGCCCACTTAACATTATCAAGCATCCCTTATCATACGTGTCGTACGTGGTTCAGATAACAGTGCATTTCTAATTGCATGGAAACAGAAAGAAACTTGGACGCCCTCGGCGATGCAATTGAGAAAGACTTCAGGATTCGTTCATACGTACATAAATTATAGACGACTGACTAAGCTGAAATGACTGGCAGCACAGGAAACCCTTAGCATTTCATTACTTTTTTAAGCTTTTTGTTTCAATCGGGGAATAATTAACATTTTATTCAACGAAGGTATGTACTATACAACACCTAGATTGTGTTCATTTTTCATGTGTGCCACAGCTATGTCACAAGCAATCAAACAGGATGGGCATAAATGCAATCTAGCTTGAGAATAAAAACAGGAAAGTATAAACGCAATAAACATGCTCTATGCGAATAAATGTTGACATGCACAACACATCCTTTCATTGCACTTGTTCATTCTGTTTCTGCGTTTATAAAGCTAATCCCTCTTTCATTAAGGCGATTGATTTTCTGTTATAACATCCCCTTACTGAAATATGGGCTCACTTGCATGAAAAGAATGTTAAGACAATTCTACGCAAATACCAAGCGTTCATTGAATGAAAACGACTATTGAAATTGCCGTGGTCAGCTGCAGCGATCTCAAGAACGGCGCGATCTTCAGTGGTTTACAGCTGCGCATTCGTTCCTTCTGCTAGTCTAGTGACATATTTACCCTTGTGTCCAAGGTCGACAAGATCAGCCAAAAAATTGTGTCTAGATTTCAGGCACTAACTTGCGAAATGTTGGTATATCTTTGCCTTATTGCGCTCGCATTGTCATCTGACAGCCAGTTGGAGGTTTTTTTTCTCCTTCGTCTAGCTTTATGGCGTGATCGTCACGTTCCATTCCTCGCTTCACGTTTTTTTTTCGTTTCTTTGATTTTGATTATTGCGCTAATAAGGAAGCAAGTATCTAAGCCAAACCTAGAAGTATTGTTTAAAAGAGGGGCCATGATTTTAACGTTTCCGGATAATTTTTTCACGAGCAAGGCACGACCCTAAAGGAGAGCTTGCCTGAGGCATTATCAAACGTGAATGCCGTTTACTGTACGCCATTCAAACTGCTAGTGCATTCTCGACGTCTTCGTATTATTATATATGTTGATTGATTGATTTGTGGGGTTTAACGTCCCAAAACCACCATATGATTATGAGAGACGCCGTAGTGGAGGGCTCCGGAAATTTTGACCGCCTGGGGTTCTTTAACGTGCACCCAAATCTGAGCACACGGGCCTACAACATTTCCGCCTCCATCGGAAATGCAGCCGCCGCAGCCGGGAATCGAACCCGCGACCTGCGGGTCAGCAGCGAGTACCTTAGCCACTAGACCACCGCGGCGGGGCGAATATTATATATGTTGGCAAACGAGCTTGTCTGTCTTGTCTCCGAGACAAGGTCGTCTGTTGAGAGTTGTCGTAAACGAGAAGCGTTTTTTTTTTTTTTTGACGCTATCGCGGCCATTTGGTATGAATATCTCCCTCGCCACAGCGATGCCGAGCACGTCAGTTTGTTCGTGTTCTCAATGGGGCACGGTGAGAAACTAACTGAACGCACTGGCTTGGATCTCTGCACGAACGATAAAGCCGTCACTACTGTTAAGGCTGCCTGCTGAGCACTCAGCGCACGTAATACAAGGTGAAACTGTAGCCTGCCGCTCGCTACAGCCGAAGTGCCGCAAACCCACGCGCATCCGGGCCGGTAAATCACCGAACTGAGAGAGAAGGCACCGGTAGTGTTCACGGTGGCTCCCGCAACGAGCTTACCAACTTCATGACGGCCGCTTTCACACCCGGTGCCGCCGACGCCCGCCAGAGTGACGGCTATGCCTGTTTCGTGCGTGCCTCTTATAACCACGGTCACGGCCGACATTCTACGAGACGGCCCGCCCGTATTTCTCCTTCCACACTAAAGCTTATTTGTCTTCTCACTCGGTTTTCTCCCGACTGCGCCCCCTCCCAGCCAGCGCCCTCTCTGCAGACGGCAAGACGTAACAAGTAGCACGACGCGAAAGCCTCCACCCGCAAAAGTGGAGCGCGCTCTCCTTTTTCTGGAGGAACCCGAATGCTTACTCCTTCTTTGGCCACCGCTGGTTTGAGTACTTCCCCTCTCACTCTGCTCTTTATCCATTCCTTTTTATACTTACTTTTCTTGTACCTGTGTTCGAAAAGACGACAGGCTGCTTTTTTTTTTTTAATTATCGGTACTTGTGATTCGCGCACGTGTGTTTATTTACTTTCAAAAGCCAGCCATACTTACTATGCCACCTGCGAGTGCGGAGAACCTTGGGAAAACGTCCCTGTCTGCTTGCTCTAGACTACGTTCCAGATTCCTTGTTTACATTTTAGGTGTCACCTCTGCGATTTTATTCCTCGGGCGCGCGCCCGCGCGCGTCGTCAGTTTGTAATAATAACAGGTTGTTTTCTTTATTTCCTACGTCTCGCGTGCCGGCCCCTTTTGCCAGTTGGCTGCGATGCCGAGACCGGCTTTTATTCATTGCCTGCCGGCTCTCTTCTGCGATTCGAATTGTCCGCGAAAAAAAAAAAAACAACATTCAGAATTCTAAGAACGTTGCTTCCTCACTTTGATTTCGCGTTCTCCTTTTCGTTAGAGACTTCATCAGTCCAGGCCACCACAATCTTCTTCAGCCAGCATTCGAGCTCATGTTTTTGTTGTAAAAGGCGTATACGGTGCGAGTAGTTTGAGTACTGTGTTATTGGTCGATGAAACCCTGAGTGAGTTGATCTTGTTTGACTAAAAGGGACACTATCCCTTTTACTATGTTTAAACACACTGACAAGCTACTTTAGTTAGTTGTTTCGATAAGCACTTCCTGGCCAGTATACCTTTTCACGTTGGCATGGTGAGTCAGAAAGAGTGAAGCTAGATGAATGGACGAGGCGGGTATTTTCGTAGGGACCAAGCAGGAAAAGTGAATGAACTATAGTCGGTAGCTACGTTCCCCGTTGAAAACCTTGCCACTTCCTATGGTCATCTTACTTTTTGTTTGTCTGTATGCCAGCCCGAGAGGTGTGGCCGTCTCTGAAGAAACGCAGGCAACCATAAAATGCCGCCCAACAAATTCGAGCGTGCCTGAGAAGTCCTGTGACATTGTGCTTGCGTGTCATGCATCGCTGACTGTTCCATCCCTCTTCAGGAAGCTGGTTCATGTACAAAGCAAAAAATTCAGCGTCCTTTTCCGTCTCCTTTTCTCTTTATATATTGCTCAGTGGCTTCAAATAAGGCGCAACCCACGGTTATCGCAACAACTTCTCAGCAAACACCTTTAAGACCACAAGAGATCCCTCGGCTCTATTGCTAATTAGTATGAAGTATTAGGTAAAAAATGATAACCCGAATGACTGACTGCAAACTCGATAACGGGAAAGATTAACGCCAGGAAATGGCTACAATATAGTTAACAGTCACATGCTGCATCGAGGCCTAGACATTCCTTCAAGCTTTTGCAGTTGAACGTCTGGCCACACAAGTGAGTTTTCTGATAACTACAATCGCTCGTCATCTTCTTTTTTTTATTTACGCAAGGCTTTCTTGTGCCGATCGAACAAGGGGAAGCAAAAAATGACAGGCCTGCGTGAAAGGCGCAGCACAGTCACAGTGAGAGCTAGACGAGCAGCCTTTCAGAGCCTCTTCTAAACACTCATTGGGTAACTACTGCAAGCACACTTGCTTGATACCTACTAGGTACTTATTACTTATTTGGGTAGTAGGCCAGTATTCGCTATGCTATTTATTGTCATTCTTCAGAGAAGCGTGGTATCCGCTAACATTTGCAAGAGATTTTGTGCTAATTGTTCATGCAGTGGCTGACGACAATGAGGAATTATGGATGAAGTGGGCATGAACCACAGTTAATAGGGAAACAAGAACAAGCTTTTGAGATGTGTTGAAATTTCGGATGGCCCACTGGTTACGCTATTCGCATTGTGCGACGACTGGTTGTTCTTTCGCTGTTTTAAAACGCTTTATAATTCGTATTAACGCCATTGCTTTCCCGACATCAAGCCTGCCTTAGGCAAGTTTGCCACTGAGTCACAAGCACCGGCATGAGTGTTAGAATACTGGGCTGGCATCCAGTGGACCCGTGTTCGAGTCCCACTGGATCATTGGTGCGAGTTTTTTTTTTATATTTTTGTGCCATGTGGTTACGGACACCGGCGGTGGGGGCAGACAACTGAGCGTGACCCGTGTTGGGATCTGATAAAAGCTTTCGCTGTAAAAGGAAAGTCATGCATGCAATGACCAAAATACAAAAAGATAATACATCATTTGGCACAAAAGACGCCAACTAGCTAACAGTGTGAATAGAAAGAACGTTAAATACCTTTCGGGGTATGAATTTAGTCCATAATGAACTGCTTCAATCCAGCCGGCTGAACAGAATTTACGTGTTCACGCTTGTGAGCGTTATTACAAGGCCGTCCTATCAATTGAAAACGGTGGTACCGTTCCTGCGTTAAATTTAACCACCATGTATTTAGAATACTATAACATAGGTGAGTGGGTGCAACTATCTTAATTAACTTCAAAAACGGTACAAGATGAAGGAAGTCCAGGCGTATGTGCCCACATTAAGTCAAGATGATCATTTCATGGAACACTTCTATGAAGACGTTGAGTCAGTCATTAATAAAGTAAACACACAGTGTACTATTCTGACAGGCAACCTTAATGCCAAAGCAGGCAAAAAACAGGCCGGAGACCATGCAGTCAGGAAATGTAGCATCGACTTCAAGAATGCTGGAGGGTAGTTATTAGTAGAGTTAGCAGAACGTAATGTTTTTGAGATCTTCAATACCTTCTTGAAAAAACGGGCTAACCGTAAATGGACGTGGTGAAGTCCTAATGGTGAAACTAGAAATGAAGTAGACTTCATTCTGTGTTCACACCCAGGCATTGTACAGGATGTAGAAGTAGTGCAAGATCCGATGCAGTGACCATAGAATGGTAAGAGCTCGTATTCACCTAGACTTAAAACATCAAAGGCATAAGCTGATACGCAAGAAGTCAATTAATGAGCTAGCGGTGAGATAGAAAGTACAAGAATTCAGAGTTTTGCTTCAGAATGTATTAGAGGCTCTAAACGAGGTAACCGAGGTTAGCGTTGCCACTATGAACGATAATCTTACTATCAAGGAGAGTGCAATGGAAGTCAGAGGTACACTCACTAGACAGTTCACTGGCAAACTATCTCAACAGACAGAAAATCTCATTAAGAGATGACCAACTATGAAATTCTCAAAAACAACCAAAAATATAGAGCTAGTGAAGCCTTTGAAGTTAATTATTAGAAGCAAGGTAGCTGACATGAGAAGGTACAACGTGGAGAGAGTTGAGCAGGCTGTAAAAAGCGGTAGAAGCCTAAAAGCTGCGAAGCCAAACTCTGAATTCTTGCACAGGCAAAATTCGAATGTATGCGTTTAGGGACAAAGAAGGCAATGTGATAACCAATATAGATAGCATAGTTGAGATGGTGGTGGAGCTATACAGAAAGCTGTACAGAAGGTGAAACAACCAGGCTGATATTGTAAGAAACAATGGTAACCCAGAAAAATTCGACATCATTACAGTGACGACAGGAGAAGTAAGCAAAACCCTATAGAATGAGTGCAAAGAGGCAAAGTCGCTGGTGAGGATAAGGTAACAACGGACCTGCTGAAAGATGGCGGAGAAACTGTGTTTGAAAAACTGGCCACTTTATATACGAAGTGTCTCTTGATGGGAAAAGCACGAGAATATTGGAAGATCGCCTACATTATTTAAAACCATAAGAAAGGAGACCTGAAAAAGTACAGGCTGATCGGCTTACTGCACGTTCTTAAAAGGTAATTACAAAAATAATAGGCGATTAAACTAAGGGGACGTTAGAGTGCTGTCAACCAAAGGACGAAGCAGGATTTCGTGCAGGTTACTCCACAATAGACCATATTTGCACTATCAATGAGGTAATACATAAATGCGCGAAACACAGCCAATCCCTATACATATATAGCTTTCATAGATAGCGAGAAGGCGTTCGACTTAGCCGAGACAGCAGCAGTAATGCAGGCAATATATACGAAATCAGGGCACCGACGAACGCTACTTAGACATACTGGAAGAAATCTACAGCTGATCTACAGCCACCATAGTTCTCCATAATGAAAGCGGCACAATTCCAATAAAGAAGGGTGTGAGGCAGAGAGACACAATCTCTAGAATGCTATCAACCACGTGTTTTAGGAGGTTTTCGGGGCCCTAGAAGGAGAAGAGTTAGGGGTAAGATTTAATAGAGAGAATATTAGCAACCTGCAATTCACTGATGACATTGCTTTGATGAGTAACTCAGGGGAAGAAATACAACTGATGATTACCAAACGCGACACGGAAAGCACAAGATTAGGTCTAAAAGTTATATGCACAAAACTAAAGCAATGCGCAAGTCTGAGCAGAAAACAGCACTTTCCTATAGGGGGAGAAACACTGGAAGTTATAAAGGAATATGTCTACTTAGGACAGCTAGTAACCGTGGAGCCGTGCCATGAGAGTGAAATATTTAAAAGATTAAAATTAGGGTGGATCACTTTCGGCAAGCATTCTGAAATCATGAATAGTAATCTGTCCCTAACCCTCAAGAGAAAGGTATATAACAGCTGCGTCTTGCTAGTACACGACTACGGAGCAGAAACCTGGAAGCTTGAAAAGAGGGTTCAGCTTAAATTGAGGACGACGCAACGAGCGATAGAAAGAAACATTATATGTGTAACCTTAAAAGACAAGAAGAGAGCAGAGTGGGTCAAGGAAACAAC